AACAGGGGTCTTTAATCATTAATTTTCTTTAAAAAAAATTATAACTTTCCTCAGCACATTATATTAATATCCCTCAACTGAGACTCAACTAATAAACAGGGGTCTTTAATCATTAATTTTCTTTAAAAAAGATTATAACTTTTCTCAGCACATTATATTAATATCCCTCAATTGAGACTCAACTCAAGAGTCTCAATTGAGGGAGATTCAAATCCCCATAGAAATTGTGAGGTCCATCTTTTAAAGTGGGCTATTCTGCACATTTGGGGTGTTGTTTAGAGCTTGGTTGGTGGATATTCAAATTTGGATTCTCTCATTATCCTTTTTCTCATTTTCTTCTTCTCATTTCATCCTCACCCTTGAATTAAAAATTGAATGGTTAAGATTTAATATTTTAAAAAAATTATAACAAAACAATAAATAGATAGATATAAACTGTCAAAATCTGATTTGAGCAGTTCACTAATGTAAACTAATTAATATATGAATTTGACTAAATCTCAACTGTTGAATTTTAAATCCATGAGTGACTATGAGATGAGGAGAAGGAAAAGTGAGAAAGGATGATGAGATGATCCGAATCCGTGGATATCCAACAGCCAATGCCAGCATTGGTTTGAGAGATCCAATGGTTTACATTTGCAGTTGCCATGGCTATTGAATCAATAAGTCAATTTCTAGTCGTTAGGTTTTGTTGTGTTGGCTTTGCACTGCACCCATATGCAGGGAATCTGAACGCCAATTTGTGGGAGTTTCACACGCTTTGTGATTGTCTCTCTAAAGGATCTTATTTGGCTACTGAAAAGGAATGAAATGAAATGAATTAAAAAAATAAAGATAAAATTAGAATGATTGTGGAGAAAAAATAAATTAACCATGTTTATAGAAGCGAGGGGTAATTTATTTCATGAGATTAAAAATTATTCATAAAATTTGTGGAGTGTGTGATAATTCTTATGTTTGTGATATGTGGTATTAGGTTTTATCATACTTATCATAAGTGGGAAGGTGATTTAATTTATTTTTTTTATTTTTCTTTAATTCATTTCATTCTCATCTTCTCCTACAACCAAATGAGTTCTTAATCTCTAAAGAAATATAAATGACCCATATCCTAATCTTGTTTGCGTTTCCAATTTTTTCTTTATGTGGCTGCTCAGCATGACTTGGTTTGGTTGTTATGCAGGTGTTTTTATGACACTATTGTTCAGGTCTATGCAAAAAGTAGAGAAGCTTGACAAATTTGAGAAAATGATACAAATATACACCGAACAAATTCGATTCTTTGAAGGATATACAGGTAAATTTACAAACATTATAAATTTTTTCCCCTTAGAGTATCAGATTACACGAGTTTCACAGATATAGGATCGGAAAGAATGATGCAAGACATTGTATTGTAGTAGATGCATTCAAGTTCAATAACATATCATAGCTTCTTCTTCAGGTTTCTTTTATACAGAACATGCGCAGCTACTTCACTGGACCATCATTTCTTTTGTTTTTTTTTTTAATAGAATGCCCCGAAAATCGGTGCAGGATAATAATTAGTTAATATCAGAGATCATAAGCTATGCTTTCTCATTTGGTGCTCATCACCGGGCGCTCATCACACGTGGCCTAATCGTGACCTTTTATTTTAATCTAAAAGATGCTTTTTGCTGTTCATTTTAAATTAATTTTAAAATAGTTTAAATATTATATTTATTGATATAAAAATTACAAAAAAATTCTAATGTTAAATTTAGATTATCTACAGTATATTTAGATGATATGTAAAAGTATAAAAACTTTTAATATGGAGTCATCCAGATTATACTTAAATTATCTAGAATACATCTGGATATTTAAATTATAAAAAATTTTAATATTAAATTAAACTTTTTAGATTAAATTTGTACTATCTAGATTGGTAATAAAAAAATTGGTTAAAATTTTTGTTTTGATAAATGTAGTTAAAAATAAAAAATTTTAAATTTTGATAGTCCAGATCTTGTTGGAGATGATCAGCATCATGGTTATCATTCTTGGATGAGCATGGAAGATTGTCCAAATTTAATATCATAATTTTTTTCATAATTTTTATATTAATAAATATAATATTTAAAATATTTAAAAATTAATTTAAAATTAATGGAAAAATTATTTCAAAGTGAAATGAAAGGCTACAATTTTGTCACATGCTGATGAGCATTGAATGTAAATGCAGCTTCTACATTCTTAGTGTGTGTTTGGTTAGGGAGTTTTGGAGGGAAAAGTAGGGGATGCTCCCCTCCCCTCATTTGGTCAAGAAATTTTGGAGGGGAGCTAAAATAATCTCTCCCCTCCCCTCATAATGCTCCCCTTCAAATTGAGGTTCTTTGGAGGGGAGTTATTTGGAGGAGAGCTAATTTTTTTTTAACTATTTTGTCCTTATTTATTTTTAATATTCTAAGTATACACATGGCTAAAAAAATCCTTTTATATTATATTGTACTTCACTCTCAAGCCTTGTCTGACCTTATCAGATTTTTTTTTTAAAGAGTTACATTTCATCATATTTTATTATATATTTAGTTATTTATTTTTTGTAAAAAATTGTTATCATTATAATTATTAGTTTAATTTTTTCCACATATTGACAATATGATAGGATGAGAGTAAATTTTAAAAAAAATTATGCAATTTAAATTGAGGTATAAAATTATTTTCTACAAGAAAAAACTAAAATTTTTTTTAGAGTAATGTATAGAGATCTAATAGTAAATTAGTTATTACCTCTCCTTCCCTTCTAAACTAAACAAAGAATCATTAAAATTCCCTCTCCTTCCCTTCCCTCCAAAAAAAACCAAACACATCATTAAGGGTGGGTTTAGAGACATAGTGACAAGATTGTATTGGGATGCATGGCTTGCATCTATTTGCTGTGCAAAAAAAATGGTCAAAAGTAACAATCAATTTTCTTATGATGAAGTCCCTAATTGTATTGATAATATTCGAGAGAAGATGATTTTAGATGAAGCCACGCTAAATGAGCGTGAAAGCATCATCTTCCTTCAATTATTCATATTTTGTTAAGGTTTCCTTTCAACTTTTGAAGATGGTATAATATTGCCTTTAACATTAACAAATGTTAATTTTAATAATTAGTTGATAAAAAAGACAGAAAAGAACCTCAAAAATATATATGAACACACTATATTTATTATTATTTTTTTAAAAAAAGTGTTCCACTGCAGAAGTTATAAATCAAAGAGAGTATCTTCTTTAAAACTGATGTCAAAATATGGGTAACATTTTCAATTTTGGTTTAACATTCGTCATATCTATTCCAATTTGAGTTGGGTTGATGGCAAATTTTTTTAAGATACAATGAAAAACCTTGAATATGGTTTGAATTGATGCTTTAAAATGATAACTCTTATGTGTTATAAGTGCCTCTTCAATTAAATTATTTTTCTATGTTATTTCATGAACCAACATAGCTTTAATTTTAAAATGAATGGTTATTTAAAATAACTATTTTTTATGACGAATAACATCATTTTAATATGTGGAGTTTTCTTAAACTTTACCTAGTGGTGATTACCACACTTTTTGATTTTATAACTAAACTTCCTTTTGATTTTATGACCTTCCAAATGTATTTTTAAAAATTAGAAATATATGACATTTGTTATTTTTAGAATTATAAACATAACGTTTCATAAAATATCTCAAATTATAAGGAATTTTTTGCAAAAAATGAACATATATTTTCATTTTGAAAATACTTTAACGTAGTTGTCTTTGCAAAACGCAATATAGATTCATGTTGTGAGCATCAACACCGCAAAGTTGTGCCGAAAGAAATACATTACACCAGAAAATTAAAGGTGATATATAGAAAATTAGAACAAAAATCTTCAGCCAAATTGAATGAGAGCAAGTGTGGTGTTTGAGAAGATAAATGAACCTTGGCCAAAAAAAAAAAAAAAGAGTAAGATAAATGTACCTTAATTGGCTTCCATTAGACAAAATGTTGTTAAGAGCAGCAATAAGTGTGATTTTGGAGAAGACGGAGCAATCCATAGCTTTAATTAAATGAAGACAAATTAGAATGAAACTGAAAGTGACACAGCGAGGTTGGGCAAGTCTTCAAATATAAATTGCTTCTTGAAAATTGATTTTGAGTTATCAACTAATTGGGAGATTTGGAATTTCACAAGAAACCTATATAAACATATTATTTTACTAATATTTAATTGCCAAATTTACAAAGGAGAACTTTATCAAAACCGTGTATGTTCAACCTCCCAATGTGCAACTAACCCTGACAATTAAAGTTAAAAAATAATAAGATGAGTTTAAGGGTTTAATGAGTCCACTTTATGACAAGCAAATAATTTTAAAACTAAATTTATCACATATATAATTATTTGCAATATATTCACTCTAGTTCTAATTATAAGGTACATCTAACTACTTTACCAAAATCAAGGAGAAGTGATCAAGTTATTAATTACTCAATCATAACTTCTTCACAAGCTCATAATGATGAAAGGTTCATCATCACCATCTATTCTTCATCTGCTAGTAAGCAATGTCCGTAACTTTTGGAAAGCTAATTGGAGGCTTAGAGGCAGTTTTATGGCTAGGCTTTATCAGTTCTAAGGAACTTGTGGAAACGCTTGAGTCGTTGGGTCTTTATCTTATGAGTTTGATTTCCTGCTTCATAGTTTGACATTTGCATGCCAACATTGACTCTATAAATTGCTAAGCTACATCGTGTATTAAATGTATATAGAGTTATACGTTCCTTGTCTTGTGTAATCTATAAGGGCCATATAACTAATCATACTTTCTAGAAGCCACTTTGACAGAGGACACAAAATGTTGAACGATGTTGAAGCTGTCATCAACTCCAAAAATGGACACCACATACTCCGAAAATCAATGGCATGTAAAATACAATTAAGGAATAAACAATTAAACACGTTTAATAAAAAAAATATTGAAACTTCTGCTTTAAATTAAATACATTGATAATGAAAAACGTGTCCTTCAATTTTCACATAACGTTATTCCAACATGAATACAATGTATCTTTATGTCAAAACGAATGTTATAAATATTGGACGCCAGTAATCCACAGATATTTGATTACATTAAACAGAGGCAAATACTAACTTACAAGGCCTATACATATATAGCAAGGCTTAATTGCATTATCACATTCATATCCTCCTCCGTAATAGTAAGAGAAACGATTATCATCATCTGAAGCTTCACCATCTGTACAAATACGAGAAAATTACAATCTCAAAATCAGTTTCATACCGTAATGTTAAAACTTATACTCCATTTGGACCATATAATACAAGTCATTTTCTAGAAGCTCTCCTTTATACAAAATATAGGACATTGGGTAAATTTTATATTTTGTTCTCCATTTATACCATCGCTTTTTTTTTTTTAATTCCTTGTCTTTAAATACTCTATATTTAAAAATTATGCAATTGTTACTAGAAAACTCAAGGGAATACATGGAAAATGTGGATATTTTTAGAAAAATAAAATTTTAACTAACATTTTTTCGTAGGCTGTAAATTAGTTAATAATGATAAACATTATAGTCTAGAGGGAGTATATCAATTACTTAACGACATCTTTTTGAAAAGAAAATGGACATTTTGTTGTTAATTTATGGACGCCCTCATGTTACATATAGAAGATATTATGTTGTACATATACTTGAGAAACTTGTACATTTCACAGGGTCAACTAGGTCTTTTTACTAGAAAACATATTAACATCTAAGGCTTTTGGGCTTGCAGAATAAATTCATAATGTATTTGGCTTCAGGCGCAATTTTTTTTTTATTTGGATGCCTTAGGTGCCATTCTCCCAAACTTATATATCAACTGCATCTTTTTAAAAAGAAAATGGATGAACGATTGAGGAGATGGTGTATAAATAAATTCAAAATAAGGCAAGAAAAATGGTGTAAGCTATGCAATGCCAAAATTTCAAGGTGCTTAAATATAGAAGGAAATCACACGGGAGAAGAAAATAGAAAATATTAAGGAAAAAATAGAAGATCCTATGCTGTCAAATATGGGTAAGTGTGGATAGTAAAAATATTCATACCTGCGTGTGGAGCTTTGAAGAGCAGCGAGTGTGGTTTCAGAGAACATGGGGCAATCATCAACTATAAGATATGGTAGCTTTGGAAGTAGGTTGTTGTAGAACCCTTCCTCTTGAATTTCAACTTCACATTTGAAAAGTCCCTCTACCTGACAGCAATGTTTTATCGTCAGATGTCCCAACAGCGGAAGATGTTGAGTAGAGGGCAGAGAGGGGAAGAGCCACTTCAACTTTCTGCATTTAATTACATCAAGGCTTTGAAGTTTTGGGAAACAGAAGGAAGAAGAGGAAGCATTTGGAAAGAGAGGCTCTGATGACATTATTTCCTCCAACTCTTCACATCCTTCAATATGTAGATACCACAAACATGGTAGGCTTTTGATGACAGTGCTGGGAAAGATACACTTCAATTTCTTGCATCCATTGACAAATAACTGCTTCAGAGTTTGGAAGCTAATGACAGTGGAACCCTCCCATAAATACATGAGGCTCTCTGAATCCTTCAAAGACAAATGTTCTACTCTTGAGGTCAAGATCATCCCTTTTTCTTTATTTATAGATAACTGTCTTTTTACATCTGTTGCAGTTTGAAAACCTGAATTTTCTATAGAAGCTTGGGGGAACTGCAACTTCGATTAACAACAAGAAAAAAAATTATTCACACCAATCAAACTTAATACTAAAATATTTTATCTATACTTGGATTTAAAAAATTGAACAACTAAATATATTGGAAATAGAAATTCATGAATGTCGAGAAAATTTTATTCATATATTCAAATGTTTATATCAATGTGTGGTTACATGGCAAACAAAAATTCAATTTATAATTGGTATAAAAAAATTCGATTTATAATTAATTTAGTTTACTATAAAATAAATTTCTATCAAAATATTTTGTGAATGACCATGCACACAGTTGTACTTCACTTGTCAAGATTTTGATATGATTGTGCAAGAACATTATAAAAAAAGAACATCTGTAAAAAAAATTAAAGGAACATGGAATGAAGTCACACATATTCCATATTTTCATTAATCATACTCCGAAATTGAAATAAAATCTAGTTGTGTACATCAATCAAGTACATGTTTTTGTTCTTCATGTCCTTGCATCTCTTTAAAACTTATAAATTCCCTATTTAATTTATATATAAAATTGTAGCGAGCAGAATGATATATAATTCTAATCTACATATTATTCGGTCTCATTTTTAAGACTCTAAACACTATATTATGTAACATTCATTCTTACCGATATTGTTTCCATTTGTTGAAGAGCTGATCCTAAACTTGAATCAAGAAATTTGGGGCAGTTCCATATTCTTATGTCATCCAGTTGCACTTGAATCTGCATCCCTTGACAAACATTGATAAAATTTGGTAAATTTTGAAGCTTTATTTTCCTTAAGGTTGAAAGCACAATTTTTTCACTGCAGTTGGCATTATCTTCATTACTATGTCCAAAAATCACCTCCAATTCCTCACAATCAGATAAGATTAGGGAACTCAAATTTGGAAGGCTGTTGTTGACAATGGTGCTTACTAAGAATAAAAACTTTAACTTTTTACATTGAATCATTTCCAAGGAATGTAGATATTGAAAGATCAAAACTTGTGTGGGAACAAGACCTCTGAGCATCTGTTGTTCAGATTTCAACATTTCTGAGTTCTCAATTTCTTCTTGGTCATCATCACCAATAACTGCAAATGTATCTTCAACAACAGCAGAACTTTGAATAACAAGCTTCTTTCTAGTAACTAGAATAGAGAGTGGAAGATTGAGAGCTTCATTATTATTTAATTGGCTGTATCTCAACACACACTTCCTTTCAATTCTCTGCATATAATAGAGGTAAAAGGAAGGAGAAAAGTATTTGCTAAGTTCCTTGAAAATATAAGAAAAATTAAACAAGATCAAGTTGACTATTATCTTCACGCACCAGATCAAGCTTCATATTTGTATTCATTTAACATTTTTGTCTCTATTTTATTCAATCAAATCCTTCTTCATTTTTCACTACAATTACGTGATTATTACAAATCAATGTGAAGAGAATGCAAGATGTAATTCATTAATTTGGTTGCTTAATCTATATGCAGGAATATAAGATGTTTTAGTCATTTACTTAATTTTCCATTTATTATACTCCAATCATGTTAAAACATGGAAATGTATAACACATTGAGTATATCAAATTTTTCTGGTGTTTAGCTTCTATTGTTAGAACTATCATTGATTGTCACATAAATAGTCACTAACTAATAAACTAAACCGTGGTTCTTTTGGCTTGTTGCGCGCATGTGTGTGCATATAATAGTGTGCGAAGTATATTACAAAAAAGAAAATAAAACATGTTTTAGCATAGATACATAAAAAGAATAATGCAAAATTGTTTTTGAACTAATATGTATGTTGATATCTAGTCCATATGCGTGTAAAAGGAATGAATTCAATAGATCAGGGTTATCCAGCTTAAATGAATCAAACATTAACAAATAACAAAAACGTTTTTTTTTAAAAAAAATTGAAGCATTAAATATTCACCTAACATCAATTGAATTAATGTTGCAAAACAATACAGAGACAAGATTTGCAACATGGAAAAAAAGAAAAATTGAGAATCGCAAGTTTAGAGTGTTACTTACCTTTTCATTCCAATCAATTGTTGCTCTCATAATTGACATAAATTTTGGGCAATCATACAGGCCAACCGTGCAAGACGCCCCTAAGTGCATCTTAAACCCTTTGCAAACATTAACAAGTCTTGGAAGCTTCCCAAGTGTTATATCTTTCAAGCTTGGGAACACAATCTCCCTTTCACCGTCAATGTCATAGTCTTCAATATTAAAGCACCTGAAAACTTCTTCCAGCTGAGAAGAATCTGATATAGTCAGGGTGCTTAGTTGTGGAAGCATTGAAGTGGTAGCATTATTGGTAATGAAAGATAAAATGAATTTCAGCTTGTTGCACTTTTTAATTTCCAAACTCCTCAATTTCAGCAAGCAAGCTTCAGTTATGGATGCATTCTCGTCAGACTCTTCATTCCCTAAAAAAATTGCCTCCAACTCCTCACAGTCAGATATGGATACATCAGATAACTCTGGAAGGCCTTGGCAGATTGGAGCAAAGAAGACAAATTTCAATCTTGCACATTCTTTCAAAGTCAACATTTTAAGGTATTGGAATTTTGGAGTTTGATCTCCAATCCTAGTCTGATATTGAAAAATGGATTCTACTTCACAATTGCAAAGATTAATCCGTTCTATGGCTGCCAATGGCTTGTATTCTTCATTCCTCAGTTGATGCATTTTAAGTTCCTGCAATTCCTTCATGGAAGAGGAAGAAAGGAGGAAAAGAAAAATTAAAACTATTAATATATTTCCTAAAATATGATAAAATCAAGAATTATTAAAATCTATGCACACAAGTATCATTCTTGTAGAGACTCAGTCTATCAAATTTTTTTTTTTTTTTTTTGTAAATTAAACAAATAAAGAACGACCATATCCATATATAAGAAAATGGAGGTCACAGTGAAGTTAAGGAAAGCAATTATGACGATGGACCCATAAGGGTCAATATTTACTGGGGGCCATAGAAATGATAGATTATAAATTGAAGGACCAAATACTAAATAACAAAATATAATTGCTAGATTATCCATGCATTGAAATATTTTGTAATGATGGAAGTGGTGGAGTATGAAAACAAATTGGGGCACAAAACACAGAGTAAGAACAAAGATTGTAAGGCGAGACACAAAGCACAACTTCCATTAATGTGATTTTTCAAAGTTGGCCAAAATATATTTTTTTTTAACAAAAAAGATGTTAGCGATTTTCAGAAAAAATAAGTAAATATAGTGTTGTTTGTGTAATTTAAAAAGGAAAAAAAAAAAGAAATCGATAGTTTAAGAAATGATGAAAATTGCAATGTATGTCCCTTATTGCCATTGGTAACTCTATTTTTATTTGATAATATATGGAATACTTCTAAACAAAAGCAAAGTCAGATTCAAATACTCAACTAAAACACTATTTGCTAGTATTTCACACATGGTAAAAATTTAATTATTAGGTGAACCAATATAGTAAAAAAAAAAAATCAGACTTTATTATTCTTCAATAAAAAAGTCAAATCAAAGCATCAGAGGAAATGCATACCATATTTGGACAGTTTATCAATGATACTTCCTTTATAGATGAGAACCTTGGTTGACACCTTTTTGAACAAATTCCAACAAGATTTGGAAGATTTTGAAGCTGAAGACGTTCCAAGGAGGAAGCACTATTTGAATTTCATTTTGATCACCACCAGTCTCTACCTCAATTAAATGCTTCAATTCAATGCAGTTTTCAATATAGAGCTTCTCTAGGGATAACAGAGTACAAGCAACAGAGACAGGGAACAGAGATGTCAACATCGGACATTCAACAATATCGAGAAACTTAAGATTTCTTAAGTTGCAGTCAACAGGGAATATGTGGAGCAATTGAGGGCAGTTGAATATACCTAGACTTTCCAGCTTTTGGAACATGCTAACAAGAGAAGGACCACAACATAGTTGTTTTAGATTACCCATATCATTCAGTGTCAACTCACCCAATCTTGAGACAACCACATCTTCATAAGAGTAGTTTCATCAGCAATGCATTCCATCTCTGAACAGCATTGAAGATGAAGTTTAGTTAACTCATTCATGCCTCCCATAGCTTGGACCATATTAGGAATGAAGCTTTTGCAACCTCCCAGAAGCTTATAAAATTGAATTGCAGTTGCTCTTTGTACAATATCTTTGATTAGCGCACTTGACATTGAGATATTTGGATGACCCAAGCATAAAGATCTTCTTTCTTCTCTCCAAAAAAATCTGGCATTTTCGGTGAGTTTCCCCATTTCTAACTTGTACCTTTTCAATTTCGTTAAAGCAGGGACACCCTGAAGGTATTCAAAGCAATTTATGTTTTCTAGATGCGAAAAATGTGGATAAACATATAGCTCTTCTAGATGCGAGCACCTTCCGATTACTTTATAACAACACTCATCTATTTTACACCTTGACAAATCTAACATTTTCAGCTTGTTTAACTTTTCAATTCCATTTGGTAGTTTTTCAAATTCACTACCTTTCAAGTCAAGAATTTCAAGTCTTGTAAGGCTTACCACAAAAGAGATATCACCTAAATCCCAATGTTGCAACCTTAGGGTTCGAAGATTAGACAATTGTTGGATTGATTGAGGCTTTTTCATCAGAGAAGGATAGCTATATCTATGAATCACAGCAAAAACCTTGAGTTCTTTTGTACCTTCAAATGATGCAAGTGATAAATCAAAGGTTGTTGATGAATCAAACAATAAAATCTCAAGCTTTGGAGCATCCAATCGAGAAGGAAATTGAAGTAATCCATTCAAGTCATACCATGAAGCTATAGCATAGAAATCTTTTATTGCTTCATTATCAAGAAATTCATTCAGCTCTTTTGTATAGTTTACCTTAATCGTATGATCCTGTTTAGATGCTATCCACAAAGCTACATCGCGAACCATGTCATGCATTGTCACATATTCTTGCTCATGTTTGTTGATCTCTGGAGAATGCATAATCAATAGTGAGGAGTCAATGAGACTATTTATGGCTGCTTTAACATGTCTTCTTGCTATTTCAAATGAGTTTAGATCTCTACATAGGCCTAACCCCACTCCATATCTAAAAAGATCTCAATGTCAATTTTATGATCTTCTGGAAACATAGCACACATTATCAATAGCAGCTTGGCTTCTGGCATTGCCAAATAATCATAACTTAATTCAAGACAAGCAAAAACATCTCTCACACCTTTGTCCACATTGTTTGGTTTCGCATTCCTTAACCTGTCCAGCATTACTTTCATCTCATCAACACCTTTTCTTTTCAAGCAAGTTCCCATAGCTATAATTGCAATGGGTAGCCCCTTACATTCCTTAGCAATTGCTTGTGCCACAACTTCTTGAGCTGCATCATCCACATTAGCATGAGCTTGAAACAAAGCCCAAGCTTCATTTTCTTGTAACAACTGAAGTTGAATCTCCTTTTGGCAACCCATCAAAATACATACTTCTAGGCGCCGTGTGGTTAGGACAATTTTGCAACTTTTTTGATGATTTCCCTCAATAGGAATCCCTATGTCCTCAAGGTTCAGCTTAGCCCATACATCATCTAATATTATCAAAGTTCTTTCTCCACTTTGTAATCTTAGTGCTATTCTTTTTGCCCTTCCAGTGTTAGATTCTTCCTCCAATTTAAGTCCCAACATGTCGGCAATTTCACCTTGAGCTCTTCTCATATCCAAGCTTTGAGAAATCGTAGTTTTCACAACTCGATCAAATAGCTTTGACTCTTTGGCTTTCTTTCCTACTTCTGTTGCCAAGGTAGTTTTCCCTGAACCACCCATACCCCATAGCCCAATTATGAAGTTGCCATCTTGTTGCAACGCCTTCCACAATTGATCAAAAGCCATTTTTGTAGAGTTGAAGAACTCAAAATTTTGAGAAGAGTGGTACTCTATATCTAGAGCAATAATAGGATGAGAAAATGGATTAAAATGATCACTCTTTGCATTTAGGTCTATCATTCTTTGAGTTGTCTTGGCCAACTTTTTGCAAAGACAATATCTCTTCCAAGTAGGACACCACTGTCGAAGGCAGCCATTGTTGGCCTTTAGCTCTTCCTCCAAATTCTCCATCTCTGCTATCAGGCTTTTCACATCATTCATCCACTTTTTAACCACATCATCAATTCTGTCAGTCCTGTTAATGGCCTCTTGAACACGTTCTTTCACTCTCCCTTGCTTGAGTATGAGCTCCTCCTTATCGATCTCAACATTTGTGGTGATTTTTCTGACACAGAACAAATATTGCAACTGTCGTAAAGTTGGATCTACCAAATATTCAGCAAGTTTTGCTGCCACCGACACTCCCACCTCTGCCATTTTGAATTAATAGCAACCTTCAAAGAGCCATTCATAATCATCAAATGATTATTTCAAAATTGGAATAAGAAAGATCAATAGTTTTTCTATAGCTTTCTTGCTGTCAATCTGCTTTTTTCGATCCCAGCTATGTTTAGATATTAGAGTAACTTCATTACTGTTTTCCCCCCCTAACAGATCGACCCAAAGGTGAAGTGAAGAAGGAAAAAAAAAAATAGTCTAAGAGAATTGACAGTGATCAGAGATAGATGCTTATGTAAGGGACAACACATAGAACAATGGTAATAATAGAACAAAGAAAGAGAAATCTGATGGTCCGTTTGGTTTAAAGAATTAGGGGGAATGTAATGCTAAGAAATGGAATATAATATAATAAAAATTACATGTGTTTGCTTGGTATGTTATATGAAGAGGGTTATTTTGATATAAAATTAGTTGTAATGAAATTACATAGGTTTATTGATGTAATCCTCTTTATAATGTATGATGTAATCCCCTTTACATGATGTAATCCTTTTACCTTTTATGAGGATTGTAGGTAATCCTCTTACACTGCATCGAACCAAATACGCTATGAAAGAATAAAGTCAGAGAAAAATGAGACACTGATTCAGGAGAGGTTATCTTGCTTCATACCTGTGATGAACTTCCACCTGCAGATATTGAAGAGTAAGAAGAACAGAATAGCACTGTGATGACCAGATTTTGCGTGTGAACGAGTCGTCAACTCAGTTGGAACTCGGAAGCTGGAAGTGAGAGTATGTAGATAAGATGATCAGTCGGTGCTGTCCAGTTTCCATTATTTCTATGGACCCGAAAACACGCTGTCTATATTCCATAATTCAAAACGCAATCTTATCATTTTTACTTTTCAAAAGCCACAGGTATTTTGAAATTGAAATTTCAGAATTTTTGGTTTACATTAACTTTGTGCAGCATATTATAAAAGATATGTTGTGATTTGATTTATCCTAATTCATAAATCAAATACTAACATGTTAATTAATATAGTAAAATAAATTTAATCTCTTTTTGTTTTTGCTAAAGACCTTTTCTTTATTTTCAAAATTTTTATTTTAGTCTAATTTTCAATACCATTAAAAATATTTCATTAATGATTCTAAAATGCTAGAATATACTACTATTATATTAAAATTTACAATTCCTTTTTTTTTTTGCTAAAATACGGGGAAAATGCTCAAGCTTTTATTTCATGTAGACCAACCTCGGCTTAAACACACCCATTTGATCTTTGTACAATAAATCCTGAGCAAACACACATTTGATCTTTGTACAATAAATCTTGTAATTCTATCGGAGGATTCCATAAAAAAGACAAACCCCCCTCTTTCCTCAAGCTTAAACCAGCATAAAATTTACAATTCTATTGCATCGCCAAATGCATTGTTTGGAAATTTATTATTGTCATTTGCATCAAAATATTTACTTTAAGTTTGTGTTTTATTAAAAAAAAATCTCAATCTTATACATAATTAGTCTTGGCAGGTGTCAACATTTCCTGTGGATTTTTTTTTTTTCCCAAATAACAATTTCCCGTGGATTTGCCCACACAATAGTTATTGCAGCCATTGCTATATATAATATCACCACTGCCATTCAATGTGACTTATATTTACAATTGCAGATAAAACATTAATACTTAAAATTATAATAATTCAAATGATCATGATGTTTCCTTATCCATTACTTCTTCCATAATACAAAATAGGTATCTTCTGAAATATTTACTTGGTAGAAAGTATAGAGCATTTCATAATTTTTGTAATCATTTTTCTAACTATACTCTCACTTCATATTTTTTTTAAAAAAAACTTATGCATCAAGATTTCTATTATTATTATTATTATTATTACTATTATTATTATTATTATTATTAGGAATGGGAAGGGACCACCAAAAATGGGCGGAGAGGAGAGACGGACAAGTGCAATGGAAAGACACCACGTCTTAATTCAAAACTCAAGACTTAAGTTTATGAGTCCTTTTTTTTTATTATATATTATTTATTAAACTCAACTTTATTCGATTATGTCCACTCACATTTGGATAACCTAACAATATATAGGATATTTAATAAGCTAAGGTTATAATTAGACAGATAAAAATTTTAAAAGATTAAGGTTTTACCTAACTTTTATAAGAACCTTGAAATAATCATCAATATTCTATAGTACGATTTGGGGGGAGTATTTTTATCCGAACTCTTTTCTTGTTATTGAATTTTGCAAATCATGTACTCCTTTCATTCCTTACTGTTAATCACTTATAATCATCTCACCGCAACTAAAATATTAAAGTAATCAAATAAAACAACTATTTTTTGCTATATCAAATAGTAAACATTTGAGAGACAAAAATATTTAAAATAATTAATTTATATAAAATTATGGATTTTTAAATAGAAATTATTGAATTCAAATACCAAATAGTATAATGAAAAATAATAATAATTAATATATAATGGTTTGGATCTAAAATGAAGCAATGTTCCTGATAATTATAGTGTTAAAAAGCACGAACAATAAGTTTCAATTTAATCTTCCTAAAATATAATATAAATATACATTCAATTAATATAAATATAACATTTAAATATTAACATAAGGCTCTACTTAACATTAAGATTTGATATGCATATGTTAGTATGAGTACTTTGTAAGTAGTTGACATTTTATATAAAAAAATATTTATTTTATGGAGATTTTATACAAAGCAGATATTATTTTATATTTACTTATAATCATAAAAAGTGATTATTAGTTAGTTATTTTGAAATTTTATGATATATTTGTTAATTTTTGTTTTATAAAAATAATTTATCATTATATTGTTTTAAAATTTTATAATATCTTTGTATATCTTGGCTCTTTAAAACAACCTCTTTCATCTATAGCATTAGGGGCCCATTTATTTTAATTTATTTCATAGATAAAAATCACTTAGTTTTTGGAAAAAAATTTATTTTTTGAATTTTTATGATGTTTGTTTAAACTTTTAAAATAATCAAAATCCAAAAAAAAAGAAGATTTTTTGTTATTTTAAGAAGTTATTCAATAATCTAATGCCGTAGATGAAAGATTATGTGTTTTAAAGAGGTGAAATATGAAGAGATAACATAAAATTTTAAAATAATAATAAATCATTTTTATAGAACAAAAATTGAGGAAGGTATCATAAAATTTAAAAATAACTAATTAATAATTACTTTTTTATTATTGTAACCAAACGCAAAATAATGTATGATTTTCATAAAATCTCAACAAAATAAATCTCTTTTTATAAAATCTCTAAATTACTTAAAAATAATCAAAAATATGTTTTTTGATCCTAATTATTTTTAAAAATTTAAAAAAAATAATAAAAACTAACAAAATAATTTTAAGAAAATAAATATTTTTTATGAAATAAGCTAATATTTAAATCATAAATCTGTTTTTTATTCTAATTATTTTTTAAAAATTTAAAAAACCATAATAAAAATCAAAAAAATAATTTTGTTAAAAAATAATATTTTTTATGAAATCAGCTAGTATTTGAATCGGACCCGATGACATGATGTTGTTAGAGGCCAAGATTTAATGTTTCAGATACCTATTGTTATTTTTACATTTAATTTAAGTAAGAGTCAAAGCAATTCCATAAATTTTCAACTTTAACTTTACCCAAAAAAAAAAGTCCAACTTTAATGGACTCCAAAATATGAAATCAAAATTTAAAAAGTGTAAGAAATCATCATGCGTTCCATTTAATTGTTGCTGTTTTCACGTTTTGGGACATGTCTCAGTGCTACTCGCTTTCCAACGAGGCGTATGTTGTCCGTTCCCATTCCTTTGAACTAATTCAGATGGGTTGAGTTAATTTAAATAAGGCTCAATTCAGGTTATATTCTACTACCTTTTTAAAAAACACATATAGTTAAGTTTGGCCCTAACACATTTGGACTTCAGGCTTATTCAGGCTGGCCCGACTACCCAAAACTTTTTAAAATATTTTTTTAATTTTTAAATCAATTTTAATTTTTAAATAATTTTGTTAAGCATAAAATATTATTTTAAATTTAAAATAAAAAATAATAACTTATCAATTTTATACTTAAGTAGCTCTGTTATTATTTTATTGTATTATATATAATTTATTTATGAATGTTTCCTTTAGTTGTAAATTAATGTTTTAGCTGTTTAAATATTGCTCTTATCATGATTATATATAAATATTTTATACATTTTAATTAAATTATATTTTTTAATTATAATCAAGTTAATCTCAATTTAATTACGATTAGACTACTAACTCTAAATTATTGTCCTGATTAGTTCAAAGTTTTTAATGACTTTTGGATAAACTGTACTTTTTATTTGTAAAAATATGAAAAAAAAATAGCCATCATTATATAATATCTTATATAAAATAAAATTATTTAATTATGAGTAAAATATTATTTTTTAAATTTTTTTTACTTTTTTTATTGTTTAAACCCTTACATATAAGAGGTTTTACCTCTATTTTATTCTCAAATTTTAACCAAATTTGGAGTACATGATAACCAAATAATTATTTAAAAATATTTTATTTATTATGTTTATTTAATAGTAGAGTTGGAAATTCATATACATCCAAATTTTATTTTTAAATTTTATTTTTACTTTAAAATCTAAAATCAATTATATTATTTTATAAAGAATATCAAATATACTTTTTTGGATATGTAAATGATGTATTGGATTCAAAACTTTTTTAAAATATAAAAATTAATATTTGGAAAACAAAAAAAGCACAAGGAAGAACAATAATTTAGACATCGGACAAGCACAAATCTCCACATAAAACTACTGTTTATTATTCTCGACTTGTTTAAAACATGAAAGAATAATTAGTTTTTATTAATCTTTCTTTGCCCTGCGATGCAAATAGTTCAGTTCTTTGCACGGACTCCACTCATGAACAATGTTATCAAACTTATAAATTTAAATGACGTTGATGTAAATTTAAATTATAAACTCATTAAAATTTATTTTAAATATTATTTTGAGATATTTTATTTATTACAAATAACAAAAATATGAAAATATAAATATTTTTAATTTTTTAAAAAATAACTATAGTAATACACTTAGATATATAGTATTATAGTAAAAAATAGTATGAAACTTAAAGGATTAATTAATATTTATAACATTTTATATATTTTTAAAAAAATATTTTTCATTCCGGTATTTGGGCCAAGCCCGAATTGGGTTTTGGCTTAGTCAAAATTTTCTCGAGCCTATTCAGGCAGCCCAAACAAGCCTGAATATTAAAGAATTAATATTTTTTTGGCTCAGCCCTAAATTTTTCAGACTGGTTTAGATTGTTCTGTTGAGCTTAGCCCAAATTAGCAACTCTGGACCCCAAATTTAAAAATTAAAGTTAAAGGGAATCTGACTTTTTTACTTTTGTAAAGCTACAATTATTTGATATTTCAGAATTTTTATTTTCGCATTAATTTGTCTAAAATATTAATTATCTTTTATTCTCCCTCCAATATGAGACATTTTTTAAAAACATTTGCTTATTAATTAGTAAAAAAAATACTATATTGGATTGCTTTTATAATTTTTTCAACTATACACCCACTTTATTTATTATTTTTTTAAAAATGTTTATTGGAGTAGTTATTGATATTTTATATTATGAATTAAAGGGAGTATAATTTTTGAAAATGACATCAAAATGTGGGTAACATTTTCAATTTGATTTAATATTCATCCTGACCTATTTTAATTTTTGAATACAAATTGAGTTGATGGTAAAATTATTTAAAATACAATGAAAAATCTTTAATATGGTTTGAAGTGATATTTTGAAATTGTTTAAAGTGATGTCTCTTTTATGTCATATCATACCACTTTAATCAAAAAGTCATTTTTCTACATTATTTCATGAACCAACATAGCTTCAATTTTAAAATGAATGGTTATTTAAAATAACTTTTTTAGTGAAAAATAATATCATTTTAATATGTAGAGTTTTCTTAAATTAATACATACTTTCTTATACCTAGTGGTGATTGCCACTTCTGTGATTTTATAACCTTCCAAATATGTTTTTAAAAATTGGAGATACATGACATTTCTGATTTTTAGAATTATAAACGTAACCTTTCATAGAATCTCTTAATTTGTAAGGAAATATTTAAAAAAAAAACCACGCATGTTTTCATTTTGAAAATACCTTGACGTAATTGTCCTTGCAAAACGCAATACAGATTCATACTGTGAGCATCAACACTTCAAAGTTGTGCCGAAAGATAATACATTAACCAGAAAATAAAGGTAATATATAGAAAATTAGAACAAAAATCTTAATTAGTCAAATTAAATGAGAGCAAATGTGGTGTTTGAGAAGATATATAAATATACCTTAATTGGTTTCCATTAGACAAAAAGTTGTTAAGAGCAGCAATAAGTGTGATTTTGAAGAAGACGGAGCAATCCATAGCTTTAATTAGAATGAAACTGAAACTGACACAGTGAGGTTGGAAAAGCCTTGAAATATAAATTGCTTCATGAAAATTGATTTCGAGTTCTCAAATAAACTTGCGTTTATCATAATAACCTATAAACAAAACACATGTTTTTGGCCCCGACAATGTTTAGACATTTAAGTAACAAAATCTAGTGTTTTATGATTTTCTAGTAGATCAACAAAAAAGGTGAAATAAATTAAAGAAGAAAAAAAAATGGAGTTCGTAAATGACAGCAGCAAGTATTTGCAACTCTCAGGCCAATCATACTCTGAGAATTGGGAGTGATCAGAGATAGATGCATATGTAAAGGAAACATAGAACAACGGTAACAAAAAGGAAAAAGAAAAATATGAAAGAATAAAGTAAGAAAAAAACTGAGACTCAGATTCAGGAGGGGATATTGCTTCATACCTGTTGTGTTAACTTGCACTTCAGTTGATGATTCTTGGCTTGTAGATTTGGAAGAGTGAGAAAGGAACAAAAATTGGAAGTGATAATATGCAGAGAAGATGTTTCAGGCCTTCAGTTGCTGTGGTCCATTTTCCATTTGTTTAGACCCCAAATCTCGCTGTCTGTATTCCGAAATTCAAAAGTGAAAAAGCAATCTAGTTATTTCTTACTACTTTCCAAAAGTGATAAGTATTTGAAATTTCAGAATTTTTGTTTTACATTAATTTTGCGAAACATATATATTAAACGAACTTCATCAATCAAATAACATTAATTATTATGGAAGAGGAGTTATTTATGGAAAATCGAACATTTTTAAAAATTATTGTTAGTTTATTAAATGTGATATGCATGTCTTAAGAATTGAAAAAAAAAAAAGCAATTTAGCCTTCTTATAATTTTTTTTCTAGCAAACAATATATGGGAAAATCATTGATGGAATGTATGCAGAGCCTTTTTGGCAAAAAAGGAAAATCTTAAATTGTGTGTGTGTGTGTGTGTGTAAAGACGATTACCCCATTTTATAACCCACAACGCAAGAAAATGGTCTCTATGAAATTGATGGAATGGATATTTTCACATAAGTCTCATTATTTACAGTTTATGGGTAGTACTACTACTCATTATATCTATATGTTTATATTATATAAAATCTATAAAATAATTGTAATATTTATGAGTGACTCACAATTCAGCTTAATGAAGAGTATTCACAATTTTTTTTCTTTCACATTTTATATTGACTGCTTAGATGTTCGAATTCTAATTCCAATATCATTTTGGTTTGCTTAATTTCTTTGTTAATTTTTCCAGAATCTAATAAGTAAAAACCTTATGTTGCTGGAAGGATTTTGTATTCACACACACGCAGAGCTAGTTTGTTTTAGCTTATTTTATGAAAAATCACCTATTTTTTTTAAAAAAATATTTTGTGAGTTTTTATGATGTTTGGTTAAATTTTTTAAAATAATTAGAATCTAAGAAAAAAATATTTCTAATTATTTTCAGAAAAGTAACTTCTGAAAATAATCTAATGTAGTAGATGAAAGAGAGTATTTTAAAGATATACGAAAATATTATAAAATTTTAAAATAATATAACAATAAATTATTTTTATAAAACAAAAATCAATAAAAATTTCATAAATTTTAAAAATAATTAACTAATAATCTTTTTTTATTATTGTAACCAAATATAAAATAATATCTACTTTATAAAATATTTACAAAATAAATCTCTTCTTATAAAATCTCTAAACAATTTAAAAATATCTTATTTTTAATCTTAAACAAACGATTTCTTGACAAAAATTAAGTTAGGAGCGTTAATGTTTCCTTGTTAATTGGAAGTTTATGAGTTACATCAGGAGGACCATAAGAGCTGGGGTAGCTTTAGGCTCAAAGAGTACTTTTAAAGGTTTTTATACGTTGTCCATCAATAAGGTTCTCAACAGTAAAATTTGATGCCATGATCTAATTGATTACGAGCTAAATCACTACCATTTGGACCAGCATTTGTTGGTAACTAAAAGTATTTTCTTAAATAAAACGGTATTCAAAATGAAATGAAAGGATCAAATAAAAAAGTTAAAAGAAAAAAAACTAATGCATGCCTAAAGAAAAAGCAGAAAGTGATCGTTATCATAACACGGTTTTCATTATTATTAATGCCACCACCATTAACCTGGATTGAACAAACTATTTGAACATCAGAACATGCATCTTTCAAGGTGGAATAAAGATTTGAATATTATTATATTATCTTTCCATTCACACAGAGCTGTTGTGTTCTTTCGTGATAAAAAATGGTTATATGATCACTGTAGGGACGATTGAAGTTGGATATTTGGAGGAAACGAGGTGATGAATACGGAACAAGAGAAAGAGACACATAATTAATTTTAATTTGATTTTCTGATTCATTTACAACAATAAGAGACTTGTAAATTAATTTGTATATACTTGTGTACATGTTGTCAGAAAGCTAGATTAAAAATTTTAATCTTAAACTTCTAGTTTTCTGATGGATGTCTCGTCATTACTCACCTTATGTGATTGAAATATTAAAGTATGGGATTGTGAATTCCCTGAACTAGATTCCTAATTCCATCTGGAAACTTCACCTAACATTTAAAGTAACTTTGAGTACCGACAGATATGACCCATCACCCATGTGGAAAAGATTTTTTTTTTAAAAAAAAAGATTAAGAAAAACTAATGCATTAAGAAGGATAGAAGAAAGTGATAATTATCATAGTGGGTTTCATTATTAATCCCACTACCATTAATCAGCCTTAAGAAAACGCAAGTGGCCGTTATTTTATTGAGAAGTACAAAAGGGTTGATCCATGCTTATAAAGGTACAAATAAATGCAACCCAAATGTAGAAAGAACTTAATATTTAATGTCAAAGGGAAGATGGAGAAATTAAAAGATGTAATCTTACATATTATAATCACTCTATGGCTCTCCCTTTTTTATTTTTTTTATCATAATTCTCACTTCGATCTTTATCAATTAATAGTCTTATTTTAATATATTTTATTCTTTATCAATCTATTCCGCACTAAGTAGTGTAGTGTGAATTTGCATAAACATATAGACTCCCAATTTCATTAGGTAGGTGACCCATGTGGAAAGGAATAAAATTAAAAGATCAAAAAAAATATGCTTAAAGTGATAATCATAGTGGGTTTCATTATTAATCCCACTACCATTATTCTGCCTTAAACAAATGCAAGTCTCTAGTATTTAATTTAGGAGTTCAAATGGGTTGTTTCAGGCTTATAAAATAATTCACCAACAAAAGAAAACAAACAAACAAAAAGAGACTCACAGATAGGGTGTTCACGGGACGGGACAGAATCGAGACACCCCCGTCCCGTGTTCCGTCTCGAAAAAAAGATCGGGACTGAATTTTGATCCCGTGTCTCGTCCCGTCCCGAAAGTCGTCCTGTCCATTAAGAGTTGGGACGGGACCGGGACAAGATCGAAATGTCCCGCCGTCCCAATAAATGAAATAATATCGAAAAAAAATCTGAATAATAATGTTCATTAAAATTTTAAATTATATAATTTATTAAGTTTAAAATCAAAATAACACAACTACATAAATAACAATAATTTAAAATTAATTATTGAATTATATTAATCACAACTACATATTATAATAAAAAAATACAAGTGATCTTTATGCTATAAGATTAGCAACAACAGGCAAGTCAAACACAATATCAAATAATTGTTATTCTACTTTAGTGAAGGTGTACTAAGCTAATTACTCTTCTAAAAATAAGTAAGAAATATGTTATAAATAAAAGTTATTAATAGATAGATATAAGAATATAAATATAAATTAATATATTATAAGAAAGATATCGCCATGTTTACTCAATGCCATTAAAATATATAAAAACATATTTTAAATATTTTAAGTATTAAAATTATAATTGATATAATTAATATAAGTATAAATTATATTAATATAATTAATATATTTAAAATAAAAAATATATATATAATATTCGGGACGGGACAGGACGTCCCGATGGTAATCCCGTGTCCCGTCCCGTCCCGAACCCCTTTCTTGTCCCGTCCTGATTATTTTTGGGCCGGGACAAGACCCGTCCCGATATGATCGGGACGATACCGAGCCAATCGGGACGGGTCTAAATTGAACACCCTTACTCACAGACTAATAAGTTAACAACTACTAATAAGCCTTAGCCCTAACTATAGGTGGCAATTATCTAAACTTATAGTGAAAATTTTTTAAAAAATAACCTTGTAAAATATTTTCATAATGGTCTACATGTCTAAGTTATATAGATGAAATTTCAACATTTTAAATTGATTTACTTGTTTTTTATGTCATATTATAAAAATAATCTTATAAAATATTAAATCCCAACCGTTTAAAATTTGATCTAATGGTGGAAATGGAAAGAGAAGAGAACCCTCCAATTTATTTCAGTTCTAATGTGGCTAATTTCCTGTTTAATGCCATACGGCAAAATTTTTTTTTTTTTTTTGAAATCTACAACAAAATGCAGAAATTTTTTTTTTTTTTTTCAGTGAATGTCTGATTTATTCTACCCTGGCTATCTTTAGGGATTAGGATGAGCGAAACTGAAAAAAACTGACGGCACCAAATGAATTCAAACCAATCCAATAAAACTGATCATTAATAAGGCTTGGTTTGGTTATATAAATTTGAAAACTGATTGATTTGATTTAAATTTCAATTTTTTTTCCTTTGAAATCTTAATCAATCTTAAACCATACTTTTTATATTTTAAAATGTAACTTCTTATAGCAAAAACCAAACAGGCCCTAAATTGTTGAAGCCAAAATGCTATAACAACTATTCTCACCTTTTATTATGCTTAGTGTTAGATTTCTTATATTAAGTAAGTTTAAAGATAATATAACCTATCAAAATGACTTAAGTCATTTGGTTATATACTTCTTAAACTTATATATTTATGATATATTTTTTAATATTTAGATGTAGGACTTGCTTTTATCTTCTAATATTTCCTTTACTATTTTTTTTCATTTTCTTTTTTTTTTGCTTGGGCTTGTATTTTTTTTCCTAAGTCTTGGTTTTTTATTTCTTTCTTTCTTCATCTTTCATTATTTCATTTTTCTGCTTTTTTTAAAATCTCCTGTTTAGATACTTCCTAAACTTATATATATTTATGCTTTATTTTCTAATACTTAGATATGAGACTTTTTTAAATCTTCTAATACTTAATAATTGTCCTACCTAAATTAATCAAATATTAATCTGATATCAGAACTTTGCCCTCTATTTTTGAGTGTGTAACTCATGTATCTTATCTTTTTGTCAAAATGTATTTGGACTCAGTTACGACACAGAATTAAATAGCGCGTTGAATGATCTCATCATGATCCATTGGCATAGAATTTGAGTAACACATAGGGAAAGCTTAATTAATCCAGCAAATTCAGGTATCACAAACCCTACCCTGTCTTCATTGATCTCTCTGCTTTTTTTTCTTTGTCATTCTTGATCTATTTAGCAGTGTATTCATGTTTCGTGGA